CAGGTGATTTACTCTTTTTTTAACTCTTCAAAGATTTTTAGTCACACAAAGAGGCAGTTACTCTTTTTTTGTATGTTTGAACCGAAATATGTCAATTGTCTTATGGTGTGCAATTGAGATGTTTTTGGATTTTTTATTTTGTAATATTTTTTAGTAATAATAAAAATACAAAACCACTTGAATTAAACAGATAATACGAATTCAAGTGGGATGCAAAATGAACAACAATTAAAATTTGAATTGCTAATTTATGAATAAAAATGCTAAAACAATAAAGACGATAGTAGGTTCACTAGGAGACTAAGCTCTGATACTAGCTGACGAGGGATAATCTGGGGAAGATCTTTTTGATTCCCGGAACCTCAACCAACGCATGCCGCTAGAAGATTTAACCCCAAAATCTACCTCTCTACTTGAATCTACACCCACCTATATGGCATGCAAAAACAAGATAATAGAGAAAAATAAAAAGAAAAAGAAAAGGCACCACAACTTACTCGATAAATCAATCTCGACACTTCTTTGTTCAACAAGACTTCAAAAAGCTCCCCAACTTTGAAGAACTTGAAGAACACTCAAAGAAATTAGCATCAATAAATTCTGAAGAAAGAACAAAGCCTAATTTTATTAATTCTCAAATTTGTTGTTATGACCTATGAACTTAAGCCTTCATATAGGCTTTTGTTGACTACTTCTAATTGCAATAAGCTTATAAATTTCTATCCAAACTCTTAAACTTAATTTCATTAGGAAACAAATACAAAAATAATTAAATAATCAAGTTTTATCGTAACTTATTTAAAATAATCAAAATAATTAATTAAATATTCTTTTTTCCTTATCCAAATCTTAAAATAGCTTGATCTTCCTTGAACTTCTAATTTGAGTTGAATTTCTCCTCTAATTTTGAAATTTAAAACACATGAGATAATTGTAGAAGTCTTTAGAATCTCTGGAGACTTGGAAAGGCAACAAAAGGAATCTAAAAGGACTTAGAAAAGGCTACCATATGGGCAGCTTACTAGGCACGCACGGGTGGCGTGCATTTGCAGCACGAATCGTGCGAGTTGGGTGAGTGGGTCAAGCCCATCTACCACACGGGTCATCCTCATGTACACATTGGGCATTGAGCATGCACCTGTGCTACTGCACACAAGTGCATGAAGCACATATGTGGTGAGCCGTCTGCGCACATGCTTACGCGTGTTGTGGCGTGCAGGGCTGCCTATTCGCACATGTAAAAGTGTTACGCATGTAGCTAGGTGAACACACGCCTGTGTGCATGCTGTGGCGTGTGAACATTGTTGCTCGCACATCCCACGTGTTTGGCCATGCGATTGAGGTGCCTGCATGTGCGAGAACCACTATTCACACGTGTACCCAATGGGTATCCACCTCCAAATCATGTTCAAGGCTTCTTTTCAGACTAGGATCTACAAACCTAGTATTTCTTTGATCGTGAGGCCCAATAACCTCCTTATTTCATGTCTTTTCTGATTCTGCCTCTGCTTAAGTCGAGGTCTAGATTTATTTAATCCTGATTCACTACATTGGGTTTGTACTTGGGTAGATTAAACTTAAGTATTTTTTATTTAAGAATACTTTCGAGTATGTGCAGGAAACACACTGTTGTTTAACCTTTTTCGCCCTTCATTGGCCATAGGAATCTCTTATTTATCACGAGACTGTTCCTCAGTTATTATCACATCATATTAGGAATATGAGTTATATGATTTTAGATTAATTAAATCATCAACAACTAATGTTTATATTTGTGTGAGGAGAAAAACATGCTAGATTAATTTTATTTAACTTAAAAACTTTATTAAATATTAAACATAAATAAAACTGTAATAAAAGTCTAAAATTTTACATAAGCTTAACTAATATAATAATCCCATGTTTTTACTCTTTGTTCTCTATGCAAACCTAATGCAAAATTTGTTAGAATTATTAGTTTTATGGTACTTGAGAGGCTAACTTTAGTTGTATGGATAAGTTGCACAGAAACAAGCTTGGATCTTTCATTTGAGGCACCTAATTAAGGTTACATTAGATATTCATATTAAATTGTTATTCACATTGTCTACTTTAATTTAAGTTATAACAAAATTGGATGTTCTAGGGACTAAAATCATTAAATTTATTATAAATAAATCTTGTCTAAATTATAAAACTTTTAAAGATGGAACAATTTAAAGAAACCAAGTTCTGTTTAGAAGATAAAAACTCATCCCTTTTTTTATCAATAGGAGATAGAAACTTTACAAATTTTAAATTCTTGACATGACATATGAAAAATTTTCAAAAGCCCATCTTAGTAATGAATGCTAGCTTTAAGATCACATATGAAGTGCAGTTTCAAGTCTAAGACTTCAAAAAGTAATATTATAATATTCCGCCTATCACTATGCTAAAATAATTTGAAAACTCTATTTATTCAGGTTTTTGGCCGCCTTAAACTTAAATTAATTTACGTTGTTCTCGGATTCGTGATTTTGATCTATTTTTATTTTTATTAATTTTATTATTAATTTATTTTATTTCAAAAGAAAAATTTAGAAAAAAATTGAAAAAACACCGAAACGAGAGAAAACCTACTCGCAAAAAAAATCCCACGAGAAAGTTGTTTGCCTCCGCGGGTACTGGTGGAGGAAAATTTTCTTCCCTCATTTTTCATGTCAAGAATCTTTTTCTCCTCTCTCTTCACTGGATTTCGCCACTTGGTGTGAATCCAATGGTTCCAAAATTCTAGATTGCCCTTCTCATTCTCTTCATCTCCACACTTTCATTTCTTCTATTTTTCAAAGATTTAGAGAGAGAGAGATATAGTAAGTTAGTGAGAGAAAGAAGGAAAAACAGTGAAGAAGAAAACATCAAGGTTTCGGTAAGGAATCTAGTATTAGTTTCGATGTAATAAGGAGTATTTTTAGATAAATAAATTTAATATGATTATTCTTTTGCCTATTTTGCATGTCTTTGTGTTCAAATGAGTCGAATTGTTCTGATTTATAAGCATGTTGTGTGAATTACTGATATTTGATGAATTTGTATGTAATAAATGTAATATGTAGTTTGTGATAATAAAAGTAAAATAAAAGAAAAAGAGAAAAGTGGAATGAAGTCTGTATGGTCTGAAGTGTATCTGTACTGACATGCATATTGCATCAAATGTCTCGTTAGACTTTTTATCTTTGAGGGGTATTTGTTCCCCTTACCTTTCAGGGTATCTATTTTTCCATCCTTTATCTGGTAAGACGTAAGAGGACTGCTCTCAGTGGATGACGGCGTGCCCTCTGACGAGAGTGGTATCGCACTATCTGTATGGGTTATCCATAGCTAAATAATATCGTAACTATAGATATCTGTTAGGACCAATATGGTTGGCACGACTGTGGTCATAAATCATACTATGGTTTGGCCAGCCAGAAGTGGGTTTAAGCAAATTGTCGTATCTGTATCTAATATGGTCATTTCACTTGGGTAGTTGGAAATCTATATATGCCCTTAAAGATGGAAGTTTGTAACGATTTCGTGAAGTATAACACGAAAAATCTGTGATTTCATGATTTATTTAATTTTCTCTATTATTTAGCATGATATATATATATTTGATTTTATGTGCTAACGTACTATTTTAATATGCAAATAAATGATTTTTCCTAATGATAAGTTAGGTAATTAAGGAAGCTATACGGTGAGATAAAAAAAATAAATTTTTAAAATCTTACGATGTTAATTTAATATTGTTTTCCTTACTGAGTATATGAAACTCACTTTTTCAATTCTCCCTCATATGAAGAATAAAATGAGGAACCGCAGACAGACCTATCTTTGGAAGTCTATGAGGATCCCGTCGATCCACAAGTCTAAATGCATGTTCATTCTCGCACTCTAATAAATTCCAATAGCATAGTGAAAGAAGTGACCCTTATATTTTGTATTTTGTTGTCATTTTTGTCATCAGTTTATGTATGTATTTGGAACATTATATATATTAGTAAGGGATTTGTTAAGATTTGATTCTGCTGCATAAATATTATCATGTACTCATTATTTTGAATTTGTATCTGACACACATTTACTTTAATTGGCACCTGGAATATCACAAATATAGAGTACCTTTAAAATATATAATGAACTAGCAAGAACAATTACATGTGGAAAGATTTTTGAAGCAAAAGGACCATAAACTGAGCCATAAGTATTTGATCTTTTTGGAACCAGGTAGCTAAAAAATGGCATGATAAAAAATCTAAGAGTTTGAATTTGAAGAAGGAAGGGATTCTGGAGAAGCAAGTTTTGTTCCATCAATATGGAGATTTTAATAATTAACATGGAACTTTATGTGGAAAAAGAAATTAAGATGCGGAAAAATTGAGTCTACTTATGAAGGCAATTTGTTGGAGTGTGTTTGTTTGAGAAAGAACATTGATGGGTATATACGACATCATTTTATTAAGAATAAGCTTTTTTGTGTACATACCAAAGTGGCGAAATTAGTTTAAGCCATAATTTATGCAATTTGATGTCAATTTAAACACAAGTAGCACAGTTGTAATTGGCTGACAGAGACTGTTTTATCCAGTTTTAGACTATCTATCATGGCAGTTTTGGAGAGCCAGGAAATTGTGCAGAGACCGAGATGAACATAATACCATGTCTTTGTACAATCAGGAGTCTGAGGCCACAGAATCCTTGAGGAAACTTCGAAGCACTAAAATACATAATTTATTGTAATGGTGCTTATTATACATTTTGGAATTGAATTAATGAATTTTAATTAGTACCCACCATTTGGTTAATCCATTTGTTAGTGAAAACTGATTAAATTCAGTTAGTTAATCCACCTAGCATGGCAAAGACAAGCACCGGAAATTAGACAATGATCATACTCTGCTATGCCCATATGCAAAAAAATGTGGAACATAAACAGCAAAGCATTGACAGAGAGTAAACTTATTTTTCTGAAAAAGAAAAAAAAAAAAAAAAAAGGGTCACATTTTTCTTTCTACTTTCATATAGCTTTTAGGTTTTCACACAGTAACTTGATGGAGCCACCACTAAAACAAGACACCAGAAAAGAAAAAAAAAATGAAGCCCAAAAATAAAACCATAAAGTACAGAAGGTAAAATCACTTGAGTGAATTCCCAGGGGTCGAAATTGCAAGATCTGGCCATGGAAAGCAATCTCCATTAACGAATCCTCCATCAGAACTTTCAAAGTGCCACGTGTTGCTCATCGCAGTTGCAGCTGCACTATTACTCCCAATAGCACCACCTCCATCTCCAACTGCCGGAAAAGACCACACACCTCGCCCAAGCCCAAACCCAATATCTTCAAACCCTAGTCCAAACCCACTCAGACCCAGTAACCCAGGTCCTTGCGTGTTCAACAGAGAAGTAAAACTCCCACAAAGACTCCCATTACCTTTCACCTCACCACCACCGAATTGCACCGCTGCGCCTTGAGTCCCCGCTGCTAACGGCATCAAGATTGAGGTGCCGGGTAATGGGAGGCCTTGAGTCCCCGCTGCGGCAGCATTGGTTGTGGCGGAGACTGCGGTGGTAGTGCGAGAACGCTTGGCATTCTTGCGGGTTCCACCGCCGATAGGGATGTCCCGAAGAGTACCACCTTGGGTCCAGTAGCGACGGCAAGACTTGCAGAAATGACGTGGCTGGGAGAAGTTGTAGTTGTTGTAGTAGCAGAACTTCGTGTTGGTGGAGTCGCATCGGGGACATGGAAGATGCTCTTGTTCGGGCGGAGGAGGTCCCTGGTTGTTGTTAACCTTAACTATACGCCGGTTTTCGCCACAATCAGATGGCATTTCTGTTGTTTTCTCGTGTTGTTTTCTTCAACCTTTGATGGTTGTGGATGTTGCAGTGTTTGAGGAGGAAGGAGAAAGGTTTTTCAATTTTTTGACGAGATGACAAGGAAGCCAAGAGCTTTTAAGATGAAGGGGGATGTAGAGACACAGAGAGAGAGAGAGAGAGAGAGAGAATCTGGTGGACAGTGAAACATGTTCTGAGAGAAATATGAGCAGCAGGCTTTTACAGAGTTCTGTTAAGAAGCACGACATTTCAGTCGGCTACGATGGGGCTCTGATCTGAGTCGGCTCCTACATTCAGCTAGGTTTGCGGCTTTGTTCCCGACTGTCTTTAGTTTTTTGTCTCTTTCCATTGCTAGCACGTACATCTTGTAGCCAGATTCTTTTTTGTTAACATAATAATATTAATGAAATTCTTTCAAAAATAGCAAAAAAGTTTTCATTTAAGTTCCATAAAATCATTGAAAAGTTTTAAATTCATTTATAAAATAATAATGAAATTATTAAATAATAAAAGATATCACAATTAGAAATAGGTCCAGTAGGAGTAGGATGTCTAGTGTAGGAGAGGGTATGGCCATTCGGCCAATCTCCAATAATGCAAGCATCATATAGTGTAGTCTCTTCTCCTATTTGTCCCTTGGGATGAATGATAATAATAATAACATTTTCCTTTGTATTTTATAATATGAAATAATTTTTTCATGGATATTAGTTTCATAATTTTTGTAAAATGTCACACTCCCTCATCATTTTCAGTTATGCGGGTTCCCGAATATAGCACAAATTTGAAAATTTTGGGCGAATCATTAGACTCGTGTCAGAAAAACAAAAAAAAAAAATCCAATTCCTCATGGGATCATGTAATTTTTCTAATTGCTACAACGACAAATGTTTAGTGATGATTACTACGATGTTAAACAAATTAAGAAATTACTGCAACATTAGAAAGTGCTTAATTCGCTGACTTGAAATTCTTTTTAATTAAATTACTAAACATTTTATCCAATTGGTGGACCTCCTCGCCCCATATAAACATATAAAGTCTACCAACATTCACCCAATTCTAATCTTATTTCAACTCTCCTATCTAATAACTTTATATTATTGGAAAGAGACAACTGGAATAAGGATTTACAAGTTTAAAGTTTATTATTATTTTTTTATTAATTATTTTTAATTTAAAAAAATTTGAAGGTAAATCCTCTGTGATACTCCAAATATGTTATTTAAATAGATATGCAGTTCATTTTTTGGAATCATATCATATATCAGATATAATGAAATAAAATTAATTGAGACCTAATTTTGTAAATACATAAACTAAAATGATGTAAATCAATTTGTAAAATTTAAAAATTTTGGTCCACTCTATACCAAGTCTAATTCTGAATTAATGAAGACTTATAACTATTTTTAGCATTGAATTTAAATGAGTAAATGAATAATACTCAATCGAGAAATTGATCTTTTATTAGAAAAAAAAAAGATCAGTTTCCAACTCTTGCAATATGCAACATACGTACTTGTATATATATATATATATAATATGTTTCATTTAAAAAAAAAAAAACAAAAATAGGATATGAGGATTATAAAATTGTATTGTATAAATATTTGTGCGTCTCTATAAAAGGCGTGAAGAAGAATTGCGAGAGATTGATGGGAAGAAGAAGGTGGTGGGTAGGGACAAAACCGACAGAATCATGATTGTCGGGGAAGCGTGGGGTGCAATTATTGGTTCCTTCCTCTGATTTCGGACTCGTCATGTCCGCATCAGATTCCTCCTCCGTACACCTCTCTCTCTCTCTAACCCTAATCTCTTGCTTCTTTCTTCTTTCTCTGTAAAACTCCAATCTCCTCTTGTCCAAATCAAATTCATAAAATCCAGAGGCTCTAAAATACGCACAGAAACACCAACGATGGCAATTTAACCAATCTCGTTGGTGTTTCTCTCTCTGTAAACTCCATCTTCTCTTGTCCAAATCAAATTCAAAAAATCCAGAGGCTCTAAAATACGCACAGAAAAACCAACGACGGCTCTGAAAAGGTAGCAACAATCGAATTAAATGAGTCTTGCCATTCCCCAGCCCCAGATTTATTCTTTGTTCCTTCCGTGAATACGCGAATCTCTTTCACTGTAGCACCTGGTTCCGCGGCATGTAGAGATGGGATGATAAAGCGAGCTCTCTTTGATTGCAATTGGCAGAGATGAAATACAAGGCCAAACCCAATGATACGGACCTATTTGTTATATCTACTTAATGTTTCACTTAAAAATATAAAGCAGTCTTGTCAATAGCATTTTTGTAGTGAAGCGGCCAGGAGATTATTTATTACCCTATTGTTCACTTTGGAAGAGAAAAGGAAGGAATAATCTTTTTATTAATGAATTGTCAAAGTACATCAGCTCTCTGTTTATATATACAAGAATTAAAATTGTGATTAATTAGTCAACTAAATTAACTTCAACTCTAATATTTCCCTTTTAGATAGATTGTGCATATTCTTTACAACCATTTTAAACAATAAAGGGAATAAAACAGTTGATTGTAGAGATTTTATAAGTATGTTGACAAGCTGATGTGGAGACTGAGTTAATGAGAATGGTATAAAATCTAGAGATTGATTTCTATGAATTGGAACAAGTAGCTCAATCTGAAGCAAAGAATGCTTTAATATGAAGAAACAAAACTAATAACAAGAGAATGCTTTAATATCTCAGCAAGTGATGGATAGCCTTATGGTGGAGAAATAAATTGACATAAATAGTGTAGTGTAAAAGTGATTTAAAGATGAAAGAGAACTAGATATGATAGACGAACAATAAAGTGTTTGTGTTATTTAGAATCATCAAGTAACTCTATTTCAATAGCAATGCCTCTTGAATAAAAATCACAACATATCATTGCTTAATCACATCATCATATTCATATCATTTATTTGTTTATTTCAAGTATTAGTTCGTTATTAATCATGCAAATATCATAGAATCATCAAGTAACTCTATTTCAATAGCAATGCCTCTTGAATAAAAACCACAACATATCATTGCTTAATCACATCATCATATTCATATCATTTATTTGTTTATTTCAAGCATTAGTTCGTTATTAATCATGCAAATATCATAGAATATGTCTATACATTTTTAAACTTTAGTAAACACTAAACATGCATAATGCCAATTCATTTTTATATAATATTTCATTTATTCATCTAAAAATACACCTTAAAACGTACAAATAAATACCAATTTTTTTCTTACCGAAAGCTTATAGTTTCATACGTTCCCTTCCTTTTTCCTTCCCTTCTCTTTCTTTAGTTCTGTCTCTGTCACTCTCTCTCATATACTTTGGTGAGTAAAAAATGAAGAAGTGGTGAGGAAAGGGTGGGAAAGGGGTAAATATTTATAGGAAAATTGGACTGTTAGATTTTTGCCACGTGGTGCAAATTCATGAGGGGAGAGGGAGCGAAAAAGTTGACCGACTTGATGCAACGACTGACGGATGGTTGAGAAGACGACAACGAGGCAACGACAGCACGAAAGCCGAGGGCACGTGGGCCAAGAGACGGCACACCCTCTTGAACGATGGTGGGCACTGACCGAACGGTGGCGCACGCCCTGGACATTGCACAAAGGGCGACTCTCATTGTCAGAGGGCAGCACGTGCTGTCCAACGCATATCGCGCGCTGGCTAAAGTGCTTGCACACGAAGGCACGTGCAAACTATGTGCCTTGCCCCCTTGTGTGGACAGGTCATGCATGCAAGATCATGCTTAGTTGCCCGTGTGCACGCGTGTGTGTGCGATATACGGGACCCGTGCTGGCTGGGAAAAATTTCCTATGGTTTTTTTGTGGGATTTTTCTGCCATTTTTCTCCATTTTCCTGACATTTAAAAATTAGTGAATAAAATCAAAATATTATGTAAATAAAAATAATTTTAAATGAACTCAAAATTATACAAAAATTAAAAATATAATTTAAATAGTTAACGGCCTTAGGGTCCGAATAAATAGAGGTTTTACGCAACATATTTAAGCATGGAAGTTCTGAGGTGCTAGACAACCCACGACCCGACTGGCCCTTCCCCACTTTTTAATTAATTTTTTATTTTTTATTTTTAAATTGGACCCCACTTTTGAATTCTCATGTTTTAAAATTAATTACAACATATTTTAATTAATTTTCTCATGTATTTTATATAGAAATCACATGGGATAAAGTCTATCATATTTTAATTATTATTTTAATATAAATTCTATTCGTAGGATTATTTAATTAATTATTTGGTAATTAGATAGGATAAAATAAATATTTTATTATATAATTATCCTATAATTAGATAAAATTTTACCTAAAATATTATTTTATTAATTTCTTCAAGTGTTTGTGATCATCTAAAACTATCCTAGAAAAGCCTATAAATAGATCTTTTGCCCAGAAGTTGTTAAAAAACATTACAATCAAGTTGAGAGAAATATTATTAAAAGCTTAGGCTTTTCTTCAATTAACATTTTTGCTAATTTTTAGCTTCTTCAAGTTTTTCAAGAAGTAGGAGTCTTCAAAAGTCTTATTGAGCCAAGAAGCAAGGATCAACTTATCGATAAGTTCATGACATTTTTCCTTTCCTTGTTTTATTTTTCCTAATCTTTGTTTTTATATTACTTTTTAGTATTGTAGATCCAATTGGAGGGAGAGGTTGTTTAGGTGGTTAAGTTTCGGTATTGCATACACTGAGTGGGTTGTAGGAGTTGATTCAATCCTCCCCATACCCTCACGCATCATCTAGTATCAGAGGTTAGGCTCCTAAAATCTAAAACTATCTTTATTGCTTTCAACATTTTTGTTCCTAACTTAACATTCAAAATAATTATTTTATTGTTAATTTATTTGCATATTACTTGAATCCATTCTATCCATTCATTTCAAGTAATTTCATGTTTGTTCTATTGTTTAGAAAGAAATTTATATTTATATATATATATATATATATCTCAATTACACCCCATAAGGCAATTAACACATTGTTTGCATTTTGCATGACAAAAGTAGAGTAACCACCTATTAGATTGTCAGAAAACCATCAAGAGAAAGAGTAGCTCATCTACTAGGTGTGAGTGAAAACCATCATACTTTATTGCACAATCTACTCATGCGTGCATAATTTGGGATTCTAGAGTTTGCTAGGAAATTTGCAAAATTCTTTCTAACTCACAGGGACTCGATTAAAGAAGATCCCAACTCCGATATTATTTTCCCTTAACCTTGCTTGCAGATTTTATTCACAATGAGTTTTTGTGA